GCTTTTGACTGCCATATTTATATAGCTCACCCAGTAAGACATCGACTTCAGCCGCTTGTTCTTTAAGCGAACAATTGCTATTTGATTGAGGTTTCGGTTTCGCCACCTCCGGGTGTTGCCTACTTACTGCCGTTCAGCTGGCTGAAGAAGTCTTACCTCCTTAATAAGCTATGGACATCTAGCACCAGATTTCTTTATTGATTCCTACAAGCTTACTCATGTCCATTGGGGTAAGCAAAAAAAAAAAAAGAGAAAAAAAAATTAAAATAAAAATTACACTTAATTTATATGACAAACTTTGAAGGTTCATTGACACCTTTTAAAATTGAGCAAAAGATCTTGCCTCGCTGAGTAAATAGATTTATTTTAAACCATAAAACGATAAGTTAGATTTTGGCTCACCCTAATGTAGAAATTTCTGTTTATTTGCACACAAATTAATGAAATGCTTTCGAACAATGACTCAATGAGTCAGAAATTCCTTCGATTATTTCGCTCAACACCTTAAAGGTAAAAAGCTGGTAAATCCAGTTTTAATGCGCAAGTGCAGCGAATACATATATAGATATACATATGAGTGTAATGGTGAATCATAGAGCAGTAAGGAAAATGCTGCGAATGGTCTAGACCACACAAATATTCAAATATTTCATTTGCTTAAAAAAATTAAAAATTCTCGAATAAGGAATGCTGCTCACAATCAGAGTCTACTACTTTTATTTGATTTGACAATTTTGCAAATGCTTATAAATTATGTCTACATACTATATGTGTGTGTGTACATCGTAACTAATATCTACAACAACACACCCATTTGAAGAAACAAAAATCAAAAAAAACGTTCGCAATCAAAATTACATCTCATCATCTGATTACAACATAATATTTACAATTATTGTTATTGTCCATTATTAAGCTTGATTTGTGTGCATTATTACCTGACATATTACCGTTAACCACTTGGTTAATAGCATAGTTGCCGTTCGGTATTGGTATTCGATACCGCTACTAAGTATCGCATTTCCCACGTCAATTTCCAATTCACATTTTTTGCTATTGTTATTGTTGTTGCAATTTGAGGCAAATTAACTGACATATGAACGGTAGCTGTTTGTTTGCATAGTGTATATATATATATATATATATATATATATTTATATTGTTTGTGGCGCTTAGGGGCTGAGTGCAAAAATAATCGCTAATTACTGCTTACACACATCCAAAGAAACATACAAAATCGCTTGGTTGTATAATGTGTATGTATGTATGTGTTCACTTTTCACTAAATACTTTGGTAACTAATTGTGGTGATTTGAATTGTAAATTGACCGAACTGAATCGGATTTGTTTACCCATCAGGAATCGATATATTTATATATATGTAGACACGTATGAGTATACTGGGAATAGCTAAATAAATGCCAAGCGCACTTAATAAAGAAAAAAACTATGAATAAATTAAAATGGGTGGGTTGAAAGCATTGAATTTATAAATTTTTTTTTTGGTGGAAATTGAAAAACTAATGTTTCGAAGTAGACATTGGCTATGGACAACAGTTGAAAACAATCAGTGTACAGCTAATTTTCGGCTGGAGCGAAATCTGTATTGAAAACCTGCCACACCTTCTATGTACAGATGCAAATAATGTTATATAAATAAGCAACTAATTTTGTGCGCTTTTATTTATTAGTTTATTTTAACGAATTTAGAGGACTCAACAAGGTCTTGGCTTCAAAATCATTACCTTGATGACGTTTTTTTTTTTTTTTGTTTTCATTCCTTTTCCAACTTGTACAGTGCGTTCTTGGCAGCGCTGTGGTGTTTAAAACCTAAATTATGCTGATTGCAAGGATAACTAATATGTAATAACTCCTTATGGTACCAGCTGTCTGTCACGATGTAAGCTGCTTAGAACGTCCGTACATCTGGAACACTGTCATTCATATATCAACAAAATGACTACTTTGGTTTCGAGTTTTCAACCCGGGATTTTCTTGTGACAACCGGTAACCGTAATTCAGGCCCCAGCGAAGTCGATTAGCCTCTACCTAGTTAATATTTTGATAAGAAGGTTGAACTTTCCGACAGTTGTGCCGAAGATAACTTCTTTGTCTACCATTGCCATTAAAGTCACCAACCACAAAGGCTTTCTTGGTCACATTGTGCTTTACTTCAGTAGGAACGTGAACGTAAGTAAATCAGAGATTTGCTGTAGAACTTCATTTTAATGCGAATTGTGGCGAGACGTTCGTCTACCAGTTTGAAAGTCAGGACTCAGTCCTCTCTCAACACGAATCCGACACCAAATTTGCGTTACCTTAAAGATACGTCTGTCTTTATCCCGTGCCGTCCGTGTCCCGTCTAAAACCTTTTTTGAACGACCATGAGTCAAGTTTTAGCTTTACTAGGACTTCAACTAGCGGAAGATATTTGATCCGATGCTGCTCTTTCTTTTTCTTTGGATATAGTTTTTACATGATGGGTCCGATTTAAATATTTTGCACCTCTGGTTGACGAAGATGCAGGAATTAGATTGCAGCAAGCCCTTAAAATGAGTATATCGATGTGGCTCTACGTGAGCTTCCCCTCCTTTAGCAGTGACCGAAGGCTTCATTCGGGTTGGTTACCGCATCTTGCACTAGGGTTGCTCACGTTTCCAGGGTTGGCGCCGTGGAAGCAAGAGTAGGAGTTTAGTCAGCTGACTATTAATAAAGAAGAAGAATGAAATACTGGGAATGAAACTACTTTTGGAGATATAGTCCTTAAAATTTTCATTAAGTTTAATAAATATTTCCAAATCAATAAATGAATCAACTCTTAAAAATAAATGCATAAAACTACAAAACCTGATATATTCAAGAAATATCTCTAGCATTCCTCTGGTAATCAATTTTTATGCAAGTAATAAAATATTTAATAAATCTAAAATTGTTTTAATTTTTTGAAGATCAAAAACTTGGTTTTTTTTTTTATTTTTTTGACATTACTCAACATGGAACTTCATGCAACCCTTCTGGAATTAAGTATACTATTTATAGTCAAATATGCTTGCTTTGAAGTAAAATATGAAAAGAGCCAAATGCTGACATGAATAAAAATACAAGCCGATTACCGTAAAAACTTCAAAGTGCCATTTTTCATTCATTTTTTAATATGCTGAGAAAGGAGATTCAAATGCAAGAGGTTGTGAGCCGAAAATAGCGCGAGCGTTCGGAATGCCTAGGATTTGTCGTCAAGTGAAGATCTTTTACGCCTACTATATATACGTTTGTACATACACAGTATTTAATGTAGTTTGAATAATTAATAGCAAAACAGTTGCAGTAGCTTCACCCACTTTTATTACTTTATTAGATTATTTTAACAAAAAAGCGGAAATGTCCGTTCAGTCAGGTAAAAAGAAATCAATGAAAAAACTGCAGAGCTTAAAAAGTGGAATTAAAAAATTAGAAATTGTATAAATGATGCTTCCGACGTGACATCACCGCACTTTATTGACTTTGATTTATATATTAGGGTGGTCGTCCAAATAGTAAAAATTTTCTAGTGCCACAAAAAATTATATAATAAAAGAAATCCGAAATTGGTTTTAATTTAAATAATTCATAAGAAAATACATGTAAAATTTTTCTTTATATAGTGTATATAAAATATTTTTATTAATCTGAATTCTCAAACACATTTTACTGAATTAAAAATTAAAAAAATTGCTTAAGCTAGAAAGAAGAATAAGTTAATTCAGTCCGTTCCATGGCATTAAGATCTGAAGACTGCCGACTGTAAGCCAATCTAACGAAACAATGTTGTTATCTCAAAGCCAACGCAACGTAGTCGCGAAGGCAGAAGAACAGCTTCTAATTCATTTATGTCTTTTGGATTGTCTGGAGACCCTCCATGCTTAACAGTGGGTACCACGCACTCTGTATGATATTATTCCCCAAAAAAAATGATGTTTCCATAAGATTTGTGTTATGTCTTCAAAGACGATTTAAGACGATCTTAACAAAGCTTATGTCGAAGTTTGATTCAACAGACCACAAACCATTCGACCAATCTTCTTCCGTGAAATGTTGGTATCGGCAAGCCCATTCCAAACGATTTTCCTATTCTTTTCTGAGAGCCACGGCTTCTTTCGGGCTATATATCCTTTTAAATCTGCTTCCAGAAATCTTCTTCTAGCTGTTCGAGCACTAACTGGTTTAATAAATTCATCCGAAAGGGCAGCTGCAAGGGCAGAAGAAGATTTTTTGCGTTCCTTGAGAGATTCGCGTATAAGTATTCGGTCTTATCGTGTACTGGTTAGACGCTGTCTTCCACTTTTTGATTTATTACTGTGGGATTTCGTCTCCACAAATCGCCTGATAGCACATTGGACCGCTCACCGCGAACATACCACCAAATTGGATACCTCAACATGAGACTTATCTTCTTCTTTTCTTTTGGCCAAGGCTGTATATTCCCTTTCCGAAAGCAGGAAAACATAAACCATCTGCATAGCCCGAATGAGCTGTATAAATTTGGTTGAGTTCACCAAAGCCGTTCAAAAGATATAAGCTAACACACCCTTTCCCTGATTCAGAAAAACTTAACAAAAAATATCGGTGAAGCCATTCTCAAGTTATAACGTTTGAAAAAACCGAAGTTTTACTGACCACCCGAACGAATTATATATACATGCAATTTATCTACAAATATTTATTTAAATGTAGGTATATAAATGTTTGTAAATAAATTATACTGGCACCATAGTATTGGCCGAACACTACTTTACCACCCCGAAATCAATGCGAAACGGTTATTTAAATTGCGATTACCTAATTTTTGCAACGCTCGATTGCTTCTTCTGAATAGCAAATTAATTGCATGATTGCTTACATACATATGTATTTACAAAAAACTTTGCTAATTTTTATTTGTAGAAAACTTTAGAAACTTCAAAGTAATTTACGTTAATTCTAAATTTTCATTTTCTCTTTACCTTCTTCTTCCGATTACAGCTATGAATGAAACGAACAAACGTAAGAAATTAAAATCACGCACAGCTACAGTGCCGAGCGGTCAAGGTCACAGCCATGCTGATGGCTACATGAAGGATCACTTGGATGCCTGGCTGGAGACGTGCCTTAAGGATGCCTCCAATACACAGCTGTCTTCATCATCAGAATTTTTAGATTATAATCCAACGCCGCCGGGCGTGGGTGGTAGTGGAGTCGGTGGAGTTGGTGCCAGTGGTGTGGGCACTACAAATCCACCAAAATTCGTACAACAACAAATGCAACAGCGTCACCAACAGCAGAGTCAACTGCAGCAACAACAGCAACGCGAACAGCATTTGCAACAACAGAATCAAGCTTATTTGTCAAATAACAGTTTGAATAATGCCAATCAGTCGCAGCAGCAATTTTCTTATCCCCAACAACAACATCAGCAGCAACAACAACAACCATTTGGTTTGCGTGCCGGTCCCATGTCGTTTACTGGTGGTTACACAGGTGGCGGTAGTGGACCCTTCAGCCAAGGTTTTCAAAGGGTGAGTTCGTTTTCTCTTGTGTGTAGAGATAATATGATCGGTTGAGTGGAATACCGCTGGTGGACGCCACAGACCTTTAAGACATTATACTAACCATTATGTCCATGATAATCCCATTGTATGATCTGCATATCTCTGCTCTCGGATCATGCCTGCAGGCAATTCGACTATACGGATTTCTTAGAACAATATTACCCTGAACCACTAGATGCGACGGCCAACAGACTGATCTCAAGCCTTCTTTCCATAAATGACCTTTTGCAACCGGTCGCAGTTGAAAATCTCGAGCCGAATCGAAATACAGTGCTTTCGGGCTTTGGTTAAATCGCTCAAATATGCGGAAGAGTTACAAGTACAAGTTCTCTAAAAGCAGAAATAATCTTTTCCTAAGTCGTCCGATATTCGTAAAATTCAATGCAATTCAATATTCAGAAAAAAAAATTAACAGATTACTTATTACCGCAAACCCGATGACTTGTTATTGAGTGTATTTCATGAAATATAAAACTCTTCGCCGTAACAATTCATAATTCGTTCGGATGCGGCTTAGAAAATTTACTGTTTTTCTCCAAGTACACTTCTCAACAGCTAGAAATAACTGAAGGGTGTTTTTTCAGTCAGAATGAACGCCGAGATGAACGCCTTAAGAAGGCTAGAAGAGTGAGACACGTTCTCCCATTGAGTTTAAGGGTTACGCTCTGTTCTAGTGTCTTTTATGAGACGCCTACTCGTGATAAACTTCCAAAACCATTTTTATCTTTATCGTCCCCAATAGCTGAGTGGATAGCATTGCGTACTGACATTCAAAAGGCCAGGCTTCGAGTCCGGGCTCGACCAACATAAAATATTATAGAAAATTAATTTTTCTAATTGCGGTCGCCCCACAGCAGGGAATCTCAAGGGGGTCGGAGTGTATTTCAGACATGAAATAAAAGCTTCTCATAAAAAACCTATCAGCAGTTCGGAGGCGGCTTAGTGTAAACTGTAGGCCCTCCATTTATTGAAAAAAACATCAAGATGCATCTTAAAAATCAGAGGAGAACCTCGGCAGAAAATTCCTTCAGCACTTGTAACCAAACTTTTAAATAAGTTTTTAAATTTTAAATTTTTTTGGTTTCATCATTTTTCACAGAGCGTGCCAAATTATATGAAACAATCCCATTATAATAACCGTTACTCGATGATGTTCCCCAACAGTGGCATGGGTTCGGCACCCGGCGGTTATTATCAACAAAATGATGGTCAAGACTTTGCCAGCCTGCCGCCCATCGTGAATATGCTGGGTGGCTCATCGGAAATGGAGAATAATTCAACAGATGTGCTCGATGGAAGCGGCAGCAATCCGAATATTAGTAGAGGGTATGTAAAAGACTACTTTGAAATTAAAAAAAAAATAGAAAAAATATTGCAATGAAACGCCATACAAAAACTATATTTATTTATTTATTTTTTTGCCTATTCCCGATTAGTTTTCGTTTTAGCGACCCTTGTCTGCTGAATCCATCCGATAATGATTCGAAAGTGAGTGGCCAAAATACACCCGATCGCCGTAATCAATTACCCAGCGATTTGGAGAATAACAAATTTTTTACCGCATTAATGGAACAAATTAATTTATTGCACGAAACAAATACGAAAATTTGCCGAAATTTGCACGAAACAAAAGGTGAGTAGCGAGAGTAATGGAATTTATGTGGCACTATTTAAATTTAGATTGATGTATGTATGTATTTTTTGAGGTCTCACACACTTAAATTTAATTATTTATTGTAAGAGCAATTTTTTACATATTTTTTATAAACACTAAATTTCAGTTTCAATTGTTATTTATTTTTGTTTTTGTTTTTCGTATGTAGTTATGAATGTGTGATTAAAGTTTAATTATCAATTATTGCATTATTATTTGCTTTGATTATGCCAAAGCGTTACCTTGACAATTTCGAATTATACTTATTTAATTGCTTAGCGGTAATTTTTAAGGTCGTGATTTTTTTATCTTAATGAGTTTAGTAGACTTTAGTGCAATTATTGTAGACATTTCGTATTTGATTTGTTAAGCACTTTGAAAAGGCAAACATAAATATTTATATTGCACTCAGGTAAAGAAAAGTGGCTTGCAATGGAGTTTTTAGGAATAAGGAGAAAATGGATTTCTTTGCGAAAAACTACTTTTGACATATTTAAGTTGTAAAATAAAAGTTTTGAATAAAATAAAAAAATAAGAAATAAAAAAAGTAAAATAAATTAAAATAAAATAAAATTATAAAAAATCTAAAAAATTAGTAAAAAAAATTAAACAATATAAAATAAAACAATAAATAAACTAAAATAAAATAGTAGAATAAACTTAAATCAAAAAAACAATATAGAATTACATTGATTTTTCAAAATATGAAAACTTTGTGTACATTTGTCCGTTTTAAGTCGAATATGCGCCGTTTTGTAAGTAAATTGTTGCCATCTAGATGCCAACTTCATTTTACCCGTCTCGTAGAAGGCTGCGTCCCTGTTGGCAAGAAACTCGGAGAGCCAATTTTCACAGGCCTATCTTGAGGCGAACTTCTCACCACTAAGCGCGTTAGCAATGGACAGGAAAAGATGGTAATCACTTGGTGCAAGGTCCGGACTAAAAGGTGGGTGCATTAGAACCTCCCATCCGAGCTCCTGGAGATTCTGGCGTGTCACCAAAGACGTGTGCGGCCTGGCGTTGTCCTGATGGAACACAATTCGGCCTCTGTTGATCAAAGATGACCTCTTCTGGATGGGTGCTGCCTTCAAGCGGTCCATTTGTTAGCAGTAGAGAGTCGAATTGAACGTTTGGCCATAGGGGAGCAGCTCGCAGTAAATGATTCCTTACCAATCCCACTAAGTACACAGCAAAACCTTCCTGGCCTTCAATCCGGTCTTGGCCACCGTCTGGGCCGCCTCCTCGAGCTTTGACCATGACCGTTTGTGCTCGATGTTGTCGTAAGGGACCAATTTTTCATCGCCAGTCACAATCCGCTTTAGAAACGGATCGATTTTGTTGCAATTCAGTAGCGAATCTCAGATGGAAATTCGTTCCATTATGTTTTTTAGTTTCTTTTGAATCCAAGGTTATGCAAATGCTTCCAAACGGTTTTCTGGCTTATCTTTAGTTCCTCATCGATTGAATAAGTACTCACGTGTCGGTCTGTTTCCACTATTTCCAATGCAATTTTCGACGGCAGTCTTCCCGAGACGCGAAGCATCTTTGACATCGAAATTACCGGAACGGAAACTAGCAAACCATTTTTGTGCTACACGTTCGTTTACAGTAACGGGCCAGTAAACTAAATTAATTTTTTCAGTCGCTTTGGCTGCTTTTTCGTCTTGATCGAAGAAAAATTGTAAAGTTTAGCGACTTTTCTTTATGCTGGTGTCCATCTTTGACGAGCGCTCACAACGGACTGAGTCAATCAATTGAAAAACTGTCAAAGACGAACTTTTAGCGCGAATAAACACGTTTTCAGCGCCGTATAGTATGACTTGATGCGACACGTAACACTAGTACTGTGGACAATAACGCCATCTCTTAGATAAAAACCGAACGAACTTTTTACTTAACCTATTATATTCATAATTGTTTGTGCGGCCATGAAATATAATAATTTTTGATATAAGTATTAAGTAAACTAAAGCCTGGTTGTTTGTATGAATTGAACATTTTGTTATACAACAAAGAAAAGAATTAAATAAAAAGAATAATATAAAATTGAATTGAGTTAAATAAAATAAAAAATATAAAATAAAATAAAGCAAAATAAAATAGAATAAAATAAAAGAAAATAAACTTGAATATATAAAATGGAAAAATAATATAATTAATATATATATATATAATGTAATATAAAATAGAATGAAATAAAATAAAAAATAAAATGAAGTGAAGTAAAAAATTAAATAAAAAATTAAACTAAGTAATTAAAAATAAAATATAAAACCGCCTTCATAGAAAAGTATTTGATTCAAAAATTATGTACTTTTATTTGCTAAGCGGTAATTACTGCATATTTGCACACTGGCGATATTGTACGCACACATACAATCACTAATACCCCGTCGGCACTTTCGCAGCTCATTAGTTTTGCTTAGCAGTACGTATGAGTATACATATATTTATCTCTAAGCGTACAAGTGCATATATTTGTCTAAAGCTTAATTATCAATTAAATACAAAATTACACAGCATTTACTTGGCATTAAATATTAAGTGCAGCTTTTTTTTATTTGTCAGTCGGTATAAAAATATAGTTTTTTATTTACGCCCACTTCTCTTCCGCCTTTTTTCCTTCTCCAATGTATTTGTAACTTGTATTTTGTAGTTGTAAGTAATTGCAGTTTAGTACTTTGTAATTTATGATGTATGTATTTATTGTTGTAAATTTTATTTTCCGTTTTGTATATTTTTAATTTTCATATTTGTTTCTATGTCTTTTCCCTTTTTGTTCTTATCTTCCGCTCTCTCTCTATACATATTTCCCGGATAAAAAAAAACACTAAAAAAAACACACACAAAACAAAAACAAAATACATGAAAAAACCCAACTCTTTAGTTGATATTGAAGCTTTAAAGCACGCACCCAATTGGGGTTTGAGACACCGTAGAGATAGCTTGAGTGGATTAAGTACGCACAGTCAGCCCATGGTATTTGGCGGTGGATTTGGTGGTATGCAAAGTCCAGCGCCAACTTATCATTCAGGTATGTTGTCCTACATATTGTTTGTTCATTTTTTTTGTATTTCTAACAAGAAATTTTATTTTCCAAAAAAGATATTTTTTGTTTGCTTTTTTCTACTTTGGGTAATTTGAAATTTTGAAAAATGATTTTGTGAAATTTCATTTGATTCTCGTACAAAACAAATTATATAGACAAACGAATTTGAAGTTTCGAAATTTCGCATTTTGATTTTTTAATGCACTTTAATTTCATCATCATTGCATATTTTCAGGCGCTTATACACCCGGCATGATGACGGATGTGGTACGTGAAGTCAAGGAAGCGGCTCGTGTGCGGGAAGATGCTTTACTAAATCGGTAAGTGCTTGGTGGGCTTCAACCACTTCTGGGACATTTCATAGTATTTGATGAAGGACCACAATTTGCTCTGGCTAAAAATCTAAAGTCTTTTAGAACGGACGATGGATTACATACATATCCATTTTATTTCAAGTGAGAAATATACGCGGAGAGCTTGACATTCCCTGCCGACGGGCGACCTCAGTTAGAAAAATGAGACCTCAATATATTTTTCTGGATTTTGCTTTAAGAATTCGAGAGGATATTATTAAGTAGCCTCGGTCATACGTTCAATTTGAGATTAATAGCTTCTAAAGGACCTTAGACCTACGGTGTTCGTTTGATGGTTACTTAGAGATCGGAAGAAACTAACAAATAATTACCTTCCCATCTTCTCGGTAGTAAAGTCGGTTGACATCGTTGTGGTACTAGAATACTATTGTTATCCACTCAGTAACAAACTCACAATTTACGAATACTTTTTCCGGTGACGATTTCTCTTAGACTTCTTAGAAAACCACATCTAATGAGATTAGTTCGAGTATATGAAAAAGGCCAGTCAATGGCGGTTAGGGGTTTCATAGTGAGCAGCTTAAAATCTAATCAAATTCCTTCGGTACAGGCAGGAGTTCTCGTCGAGCATGCAAAAAGTGCTCAGGGGAAGCTTTTCAATAGTATGAGTTAACCTAACCTAAAATTACCAAGTTTTCAGAAGATTTACAACTAGTAATCTCCTGAGACTTTACTGGAAAATATTTTTTTCGTTATAAATATAAGATACCCAAAAATTATCCTTAATTAAAATAATATTAACAATCAACTAAATAACTTCTACTACTTTCGTCATTGCAGAGTCAAAGCGATGGTCGAGGAGCGTCAGTGGTCATTCAACGAGAGTAATTTGCGCATGATGCGTGACATTGAAGAATTGAAGGTAAGTTAAGCTAATAATTTCCATTACTCCGCCCATTTTCTAAGTTTTACTTGCACTCCCTCTTCCAACCCCCAGTCCCAAGTTCATCATTTGCGCGCCGATCGTAAAGAATACAACAAACGTATCACACATCTCGAAGCCGAAAATAAGTATATGCGTCAAATGCTGACCAGTCTCTTTAATCAACGCAACACACCCGATGTCATCTATGAGAATGAAACATTGCGCACCCAACGCAAATCCTTCCCAACAGCACCGCCAACACGTCGCCCACAATCGATGAATCTGCATTACGGCACCATACACCATCAACCGCCGACCGTAGCGCTGACAGTGGATGAACAGGACGAGCGTTTGCATATTGTCGAAGCGGCTACGACACGCGCCACCGCCGCGGATATGGTTACTGTAAGTGATAGACGCACCGCAGAGTTGCGTAGTTCATTCTCCAGTTCGGATGGTGGCGGTAGCGTAGGTGCAGGTAGTGGTGGTGGTGGTGGTGGTAGTGGTGGTTGTGGTGTTGGTGGTGGTGGTGTGCGTAATAGTACAGTAACACCATTGCCTAACGGTACGTCTGCATTAAAGAGCGGTCAAGAGCTCATGTCGCCACCAAATTTCGCCTTGATATCCACACCAATTGAGGAAGAGGTGAAGCAACGAAAAAAGAAGGGCAGAAAAGTGCCAAATGTTGACGGCACCAGGCGTAACGGTGAAACACAATGTACTACTGGCGATGCCAATAGTGCGGCAGCAGCTACTTTACCTGATGATGAGGACACGGCCAACGATGCTGATGATGATAGCAAACTGTCCACACAGGAGTTGCAGCAGGAATTGCAGGATGCGGTGGCAGCGCGTAAGGAGGCCGATAATCGTGTCATTGCGTGGGTTTAATTGCTTGAAATACACCTTAGAGAAATGTTGTGCAGCACAAACAGAGAATATTCCATTATTTTTCTTCTATTTGTAAATATGTTTCTTTGAGCTTACTGGGCAGCTTTTATTGTTTTTAATGTAAATAGTTTAGCTTTAGTTTATTTGCTTTTACTCGAGCTTTTGTCGTCAACAATAAATAATTTGTTATGCCAGTATTTATGACACAAAGTAATCGCCTGTGAGTTGTTAAGGTAAAGTTTTTTAAAAAGTTTCAAAATCTTCTGGAATGTAGACAACTTTTTATATTTCACATGTATATAAATATTGGTCCAGTAAAAACTTCGTTCGTTTTTTTTATATTGATTTTTCACAATATGAAAATTTTGTGTACATTTATCCGATTTAAGTCAAATATGCGCCGTTTTGTGACCAACGAGGTGCCATTGGAATAAAACTCGGAGAGCCAATTTTCACAGGCCTCTCTTGAGGCCAACTTCTCACCACTAAGCGCGCTCGCCATGGACAGGAAAAGATGGTAATCACTTGGTACCAGGTCCGGACTATAAGGTGGGTGCATTAGTACCTCCCTTCCTGGAACTTCTGGCGCGCCCACAAAGACGTGTGTGGCCTGGCGTTGTCCTGATGGAACACAATTCGGCCTCTGTTGATCAAAGATGGCGTCTTCTGGATGAGTGCTGCCTTCAAGCGGTCCATTTGTTGGCAGTAGAGGGCCGAATTGAGAGTTTGACCATAGGGGAGCAGCTCGTAGTAGAGGTTTCCTTGCCAATCACACCAAACAGCCCCTACCCCAAGCTTTGACCACGACCGTTTGCGCTCGCCAGTCAGAATCCGCTTCAGAAACGGGTCGATTTTGTTGCGATTCAGCAGCGAATCCCAGATGGAAATTCGGTCCATCATGTTTTTTTGCGTTAGTTCGTGTGGCAGCCAAACATCGAGCTTCTTTTTGAATCCAAGGTTATGCAAATGGTTCCAAACGGTTTTCTGGTTTATCTTAAGTTGGTCGGTAATTAAATAACTGCTCACGGACGTTTCTACTATTTCCTTGATTTTATCGCAATTTTCGACGAGAGACCTCGCGAAGGGTGGTGCATCTTTGACATCGAAATTACACGTTCGTTTATAGTATCGGCCCATAAACTAAATTAATTTTTTCAGCCGCTTTGGCTGCTTTTTCCCCTTTATCGAAGAAAAATTTTAAAATATAGCGAATTTTGCAAAAAAAACATAGATGATGACAATTCAAAACTTTTTATTGTAAATATTTTTATTATTTAATCAATTTTATTTTGGAATAAGTTATTGTGGTAGAAATAAAAATGAAAAATTTGGACAATTTGTTCATATTGTCAGAGTCTAAATTAGGGTGTTATACAAGTTCGGCTTTATTATTGCTACTATGCTATTCTGACAACATGTGTATGTATTATGTATTTTTACAAAGTACAGTATAAAATAAAATAAAATTAACAAACTTAAATTAAGTTAAATTAAGTCATATAAGAAACAAACAAAAAATGAAATAAAAGAAAATAACGTAGAATAAAATAAATAAAACTAAATGAAATGAAAAAACAAAGCAAAATTTATTATAATCAAATAAAATGAAATTAATTAATATAAAAATAATAAAAGAAAATAAAATAACATTAAATAAAGTAAAAAATTAAATTTAATAAAATAAAATAAAATAAATAAAGTTAAAAAAAATTATGAATAAAACGAAATGAAATAAAATTAAATTAAATTAATCGTAATAAACAAAAGTAAAATAAAATAAAAAAACTAAAATGAATTAAAATAAACTAAAATTGAATAAAAAACAATAAAAAACACAATTTATTATAATCAAATAAAATGAAATTAACTAATATAAAAATAATAAAAGAAAATTAAATAGCATTAAATAAAGTAAAAAATTAAATTTAATAAAATAAAATAAAAAAATAAAGTTAAATAAAATAGTATGAAGTAAAACGAAATGAAATAAAAAAACAGAGAATAAAATAAAATAAAATTAAATTGAATTAAGTAATGTAAAAAAATTAAGTATAATAAAATAAATAAATAAAAGTAAAATAGAATAAAATAAAATAACATAAAATAAAGCGAAATGAAAAAAATTTAATAAAACGAAATTAAATTAAATTAAAATAAATTAAATTAAATAATATAAAAATAATAAAATAAAATAGCATTAAATAAAGGAAAAATTAAGTTTAATAAAATAAAATATGGAAAATTAAAATAATTTAAGTAAAATAAAATAAAATGAAGTTAAGTTTCTTAATTGTAATACAAAATGAATACAAAATAATATAACACAAAAGAAAATTATTATTATTAGTAAAATTTTAAGATAACTAAAAATTATAGATATTCATTTTTCTTATAGTCTCAACATAAATTTATTATTACTTTATTTTTAATAATAATATTTGTTTTAATTAAATATTTTTTTCTCAATTTTTTTTTTATTAATCTTCTTCTTTAATAATTAGATAATACTTTGTATGAACTATTAAAAAGAAAAAAAAAACACTTACTAAAAAAATAAAAACGCACTCTTTCACAAATAAGTTACCCAACAGCAAGTCAAGTACACTCCCTTACTTTGCAACTCACTCAAAAAGTCACAAAATATTAATAAACATACCTAATACATACTTATACACATTAAAATAAACACACAAACGTAGATTGCACTGAATTTTACTCACACACAAGCATACACGTATGCATTTTTATTTGAAATTCATTAATTATTATTTTTTAATTTTATTCTTAACATTTATTTTCGTATTGTAGTGTATTAACATAAATAGAAATCATTTTGCATTGTACGTTTCTAACCTCACTTGTATTTCATTTCTCGTATTCTCTTATTAACTCTCTCATTTTAGGCTTGAACATATGGTAAGAACCATACATCAAAATTCCAACCAAACCCCGCAGAACCATGCAACCATGTATTCAACTACATCGTCCAGTGCTTATAATCTAACTAATGGCACTGGCTCTGGTATTGGTATGGGGAATGGTTTTAGTCCGAATGCTGGTGATGGTTTTGTTCAATTGTCAAATCGTTTTGTTGGTGGCAGTTCATATAACATTAATCCCTGCAACACCACCACCGCCACCACCACCATCACGAACTTAGCATCACAACCATTAGCATCCTCATCAACATCATCGGCCGTGGTCATGCAGCATCGCAAGCAACATAAAGCGCATACGCTCGCCTCGGCAAGCAGTTTCGGTTGTGTCACACAATCGCCAACTAACAGTAAATTGAGCGTTGCTGGACCCATAACCGATTTATAGTTCTAGCTAACGACCACCGAGCGGCGTGTTCGTGTCACACACTTCTGACCGCAGTCCCACAAGCATGTCTGCGCGCGTCTGCATACACATCATAGCCAGTGTGCGCGAAGGAGGCGAGCACGAAGGAAGAGCTAATGCAAACGAATGTGGTGGTGAGGGAGTAAAGCAAAAGTTTCCGAAACTCGAAAAAATACGAATTGAACTCGAATAAATACGATGTATTGACTTCAGTGCCGAACGTCCGTTAATATATTTATTTTGATTTTTGTTTTTAATATTTCACAGTAAATATATGTATGTACTTGTAAGGGTCATTGTTATTAACACTGTTAACGCATCCGTAATTGCATTTTGTATATGTATGTCTTAGTGTGCGTGCGTATATTCGTTCGTACTTGTGTGCGTATGCAACTTGTAAATGACCAGCATTTTTGAAATATGTCCATAATGTTTTACTGTAAATTATACAACCGTAGTTTGTTACTAAAAAAACTTAATTTAAAGTTAAGTAAAATATCCATTTTTATATGTATGAATAGTATAAGTATCTCGAAAAATATAATTTAACTGAAAATTTTGTGTATTCATATATAATATAAATATGTATCTATTTATCCAGTTAAAATTAATTCTTCAATATATAAATTTAAAATATTTCTATTTTAATCTATGACCCATTTCCATTATAAAATGACTTTCGTCCCTCAAATATATTTACCCTATATATATAAATATGTCTATTATGACATATATACATATATATGGAAATATATTTTTTCCATTTTCCGTTTTCAATGTCTGACATTTGACAAACAACTTGTTTGAACCTACGAGAATATATTTATAATTAACTTTGTAGATTTTAAATACTGAACATTTAATAATTGTCCCACACATCGGCCAACAAATTAATCTAATTCATATTAAAAAATATTATACATATGTATAAACTACAAAATAGAACAGAAAAAATCCATGTTTGAGATAAGATAAATATTTTAAGTGCCATTACATTTAAATTATAAAAATAAAAACATTTTATTTTTGAGTTAAAAATGGTGTTCATATTTTTAATCCGTTAGTGTGCCAACTGTAAAATAATAAAGCAATACCATAAAGTAAAAGACAAAAAAATCACAATAAAGAAAACAAAATAATTTAATATAAAATATTAAAAAAAAAAACAATAAGTAAAAATAAATAAAGAACTCAAAACAAGAAATAAAATGAAATACTACAAAATAATAAAAACTATAACATAAAATAAATTAAATAAACTAAAATTAAATAAAAAAATATAACAAAAAAAATAGAATAAAATAAAATAATATACAATAAAGTTACATAAAATAAAATAAAGAAATGAAAAATAAAATCAATTAATATTAAATAAAAAAACAATAAATAAAAAAATTAAATGAAATGAGAAAAAATAAAATAAAATAAAAAAATCATAATAAAAGAGAATAAAATAAAATAAAAACAATAAAAAAAAATAAAATTATATAAAATAAAGTTAAATAAAAAAAAATTAAATAAAGTTAAATAAAAAAAAATAAAATAAAGTTAAATAAAAAAAAATAAAATAAAACAAAATTAATAAAATAAAATAAAAGAAAAATAAAACAAAAAAGGGAAATAAAATAAAATTAAGTAAAGTAAAAAGAAATAAAATAAGTAAAATGAAAATATTTTAAATAAGTAAGTCAAATTAAGCATATTAAAAAAAATATATTAAACAAAAATTAAATTAAATTAAATTTAATTAAACTAAATAATATAATGGAAATTAATATAATATAAAGTTAAGTAAAATAAAATTACATAAAATAATAAAAAAATAAATAAAGTAAAACACAAATACATATAAATTTAACTAAAAAATTTTTTAATAAAATGAACTTGAATAAAATAAATTAAATTAAAATAAAATAAAAAAATATAACAAATAAAATAAAAAAATTTAACAAATAAAATATAATAAAATAAAATAATATACAATAAAATAACTTTAAATAAAACAAAATAAATTAAAATAAAATAAAATAAAACGAAATGAAATAAAATAAAAAAAAATAATGTGAAATAAAATAAAACGAAATAATGTATAAAAGCTAAACTTATTAATTTAAATAAAATAAAAAAATTAAATTAAATAAATTGACTAAATTAAAAAAAATAAAAAAATAAAATGAAAAAAATTAAATAATATTAAATAAAACAAAATAGAATTTAATAAAGTAAAATAAGATAAACTAAATGAAATTAAAATTGTTTATTGTTATATAATATGAAATTTATATAAAATAATATAATAAATATAATTTAATGTAATAGAACAGAATATAACATAAAATAAAATTGAATAAAATTAAACAAACTGAAATAAGATAAAATTAAGTAGCATAAAATTAATGAAAAATAATAATAAAAGAAACGAAATAAAAGAAAATTTAAAACGAAATGTGTGTTTCGTTTGAAATGATTAGTAAAGTGTACCTACTAGGTCACTTGGTCACTGCTGAGCGCACAATGGCCTTTGCTATTCGGCGATAGATGCTACTCACTTTAGACATCACGAATCTTTGCTGGAGCTTAATATAAATAATCTCGTGTTTATATTGATTTAAATTCTCTTGAGGGAATTATTTGTGATTTTGAAGTAAAAAAACTCCTTAATTTTTAAAATAAGAACAACCAGAGCTTCTTATAAATGCAGAGAATTTCATGCAAATGGAAGTACCGCAGTTCCTATATCCGGTAGTTGTGTGCACCTTGTGTTTACGTGCCACTATTTCGCTAAGTACATACGCGAACCTTCTTTATTAGCGCCATGCGCCTGAAAAATCTATCAAAATCTTCTTCTATAATATTATAGGTTCTCCGCTTCTGCTGGCCTGGTAGATTGCAATGCTTGTGAGAGAAAATGTGATTCCCGAAATTTTGTGATTAGCGTGATTGCGATTATGTGCGTGTGGGCTACCAGTCAGTGTATGTGTGTGTGGGTGCGTCTAGTTTTGCTTGAAAGCGTTACTGGATATGTTAGAGGTATATTGTAGTATAATATAATATAAAAAAGGAAGAAAAACAGATTAGTTTTCTTTTTGTTTTTTTGTCGATTTTGAAGCATTTTTTTTATTGAGAAGGCGAATTTTTAAATAATTATCTTATTTTAAACACGGGGGATCAGCAGCACAACTGTGGGAGATACATTTCCATTTGCACTCACTTGGGGTGGAAAATGTGAGGGAAGGAGACAATTTAGTTAATTTACAGACATAATTAATTATTGTTCAAAGCAATATGATATGGAATTAATCTCACAAAATTTAGCTGTAATTTTTGTTAACTGTATTTCTGCCATGGACGAAAATAGGAATCCAGGAGCATTTCAGAGTCGGTTTGGGAAAAATTGTAATCCTCAGGACATACAGCATAAATTGAAGGAGTAACTCGTCCAAAAATTGCCTTAGTAACTGAGTTGCGCTTCAGTTGAAAGACCTGGTTTGCCTTTTATCTGTCTGTTTGTTCTTGTTCTTGAATGGCGTAGGCATTGCTTACGCGACTAAAGCCTAGTCAAAAAAACTTGCTATTCGTTTCAGCTCTTCGTCGTTAGACTTCAACTGGTGACACCAAGTAAAGCTAATTTGCTCTCCAAAATGTCCTTTCGACGACGTGGCGACCTTCCTCTTTTTTAAAGCATCGAATACTTTCATCCATTCGAATGCCTCTTATTTCTCTTAACTATGTCAATGGCATCGTTCCACATTCTGCGGTGTTCGCCGTTGCTAATGGAAGGGCAGGACTTTTTTTCTCATAAAAACTTCTAATGTCCACTCGTCGGATGTCGTCCACGTTCACACTTCCGTACCATATATCTGAAGTCCTTCTACATCGATATAAAACTTTATTTTTCCATTACCTACTCAGCCCAAAGTAGCACCGGTTGGTATCGCTGAGTTGTATTTCAAAGCTTATATTGTTATTGTTGTTGATTGCTGGTTCCGATGGTTGTCAACATTTAAGTGGAAGTCAAGACCCGAATGAGTCGACCGAACCCATGCGCCTTGCTCTCTTTAACAGTCTGGAGTAAACTAGTGTAACGAAGCGGTTGTTGATGGTGATGATGTCTATAACATCGGTATATGGACGGTATTGCTAATGATTATTCCACCACGTTTTACATAACAAAGAGATACCCTGCCTAAAACCTTGTTAAATATTGCATTGCTTTGAGAGGTCCTAGATTCTATAAGTTGTGCAGGGACACCTAATTCAGGCATAGTGGCGTAGAGTAAACTCATTTTTGTGGCTCTGTCGACTGATCTAACAAAGGAAAAAAGTGGATTGGGCTGGTTCCAATTGTCGGGCATACCTTCGTCCGCCCGCTGCGTTGCTTTTTTTCAGGCGACCTATTGTTTTCCAAACTTCTTCAAAGTTGGGCAATGGCACATCTGTGCCATCGCCATCGGTTGGGGAATTGTGATCCTCATCTGCTGTTCCATGTTCAGTGCCTTCAAACGGGTTGAAAAAGTGTTTTCTCTCAAAATGCGGTATACTCTGAAACGATAGTTCCTTTCTCGGGGCTCCACAAAGGTATGCTTCCGTCTTGAAACCGTTGAGTATTATAGATTCTCTGCTCGCGCATCTCGGCTTCTTTCGTTTCTTTTTGCCTACACATGTGTCTCGCTTCCTCAACTCTCGGTATCTATGCAGTCGATCGCAACTTTGTCAGGCAGACTGTCTATTCGCTCGTATATTCTTGCTGCAAGATGAGGTGGGGTTTGGGGACGTACGCCAAGAACGCTGGATATGTAACAACCGTCTATAACAACATAAAAGATCTGGTTGTGAGTTTCTCAATGTGGAGACAGATAAGCTGTACGAAATTTTCTTGTGATGAAATCTACGATCAGCGGCAACCGTAATTGATACCACAGCAAAGTCGATCAGACTGAGCCCAGTTAAGGACGTTACGGCAATGAGACTGATTTTACAGACTGCAGTGCCGAAGATGTCTTCTTTGTCTACTCTTTAATTTTTTTTTCGAATTTTTGAAAATATTCAGAAATCACAAGTTGTTATGTCCGGGGAATGTGGTGCTGGACGTATTTCTCGGATCTCAGAGATCGCAATCAAACTACTCGTTATTTCAGTAGTGTGGGTTTTCGCGTTGTCATGATGTAACAAGTAGCACCGCAAATCCTCTTTCTTCCAGTTTTCCAACAAGTATTTGAGACTCTTTGGTGTACCTTTTTGCAGTTACCAACGAATCCTTTTCCAGTGGAATAGCAGCTACGATTTTAGATTAGATGAAGTAAACTGACATCATTACTTCTGCTGCTGATTTTTATTACTTAGATTTAACGGTGGGTTTGCTCCTGTTCGGCTCCATACCATTGACTGCTGTTTGGTTTCTGCATCGTACTTATAAAACCAAAATTCGTCTCCAGTAACGACTTTATTAAAGTTGCTAGACTGAATATTTTCGAATTTGTTTAGGAAAAATTGGGCAAAATACAATCGAGCCTCTTTTTGGGCCTCACTT